AACTGAATGAAACTGAAAACAAAACATATCAAAATTTGTGGGACACAGCTAAATCAGCCACGAGGAAAACTGGCACCTAAAGGCATTCACTAGAGAATAGTAAAGGTCTCATATCAATAATCTAAACTTTCACTTCAAGCACCTAGAAAAAGAAAAGCAAAATAATGAAGAGCAGAAATTAATGAAAACAAGTGCAACAGATAATAATCAAAGAAACAACGAGCTGGTTCTCTGAACAATTATAACAAACCTCTAGCAAGGCTAATAAAAAATCACATTATCATTCTAAGGAATGAAACTGGATATATTACCATAGGCCATGCAGACATATAAAGGGTAATAGCACTACAAACAACTCCATATACAGAAATCTAACAACCTTGGGAATGCAAGCTGGTGCAGCCACTCTGGAAAACGGCATGGAGGTCCCTCAAAAACTAAAAATAGAACTACCCTACGACCCAGCAATTGCACTACTAGGCATTTATTCACGGGATACAGGTGTGCTGTTTTGAAGGGACACATGCACCCCCATGCTTATAGCAGCACTATCAACAACAGCCGAAGTATGGAAAGAGCCCAAATGTCCATCGATGGATGAACGGATGAAGAAGATGTGGTATATATATACAATGGAGTATTACTCGGCAATCAGAAAGAATGAAATCATGCCATTTGCAACTACGTGGATGGAACTGAGGGTATTATGCTAAGTGAAATTAGTCAAAGAAAGACAAAAATCATATGACTTCACTCATATGAGGACTTTAAGAGATAAAATGGATGAACATAAGGGAAGGGAAACAAAAATAATATAAAAACAGGGAGGGGAACAAAACAGAAGAGACTCATAAATAGGGAGAACAAACTGAGGGTTACTGGAGGAGTTGGAGGGGGGATGGCTAAATGGGTAAAGGGCACTAAGGGGGATTCTACTCCTGAAATCATTGTTGCACTATATGCTAACTAATTTGGATGTAAATTTAAAAAAATTAAAAAAAAAAAATCTAACAACTTATTTATGAACTTGTATTATCCTGATATCAGAACCAAAGACCGTACGTAAAATTACAGTAAAATATCCTCATCAAATAGACATAAAAGTATGTGACAAAATAATAACAAATGTAATTCAGCAATATATGAAAGAATTATTCACCTTGAATAAGTGGGTTTATTCTAGACATACAAGGCTGCTTCAGGATTTAGAGAAAAATCATTAGATCATATCAATTGATGCAGAAATACCATTTGACAAATTCAACACCCATTCATGATTAAAAAAAAACTTTGAAAAATAAGAAGAGAACTTCTTCAACTTCATAATGAGTATCTACAAAAAACTATAAGTAACAGTGAAAGGCTAAATATTCTCCTCTAAGATTGTGAGCAAGGCATGAGATCTGCTCTTAGTACTCTTAATATACTGCTGGAAGTTCTACCCAGTGCAGTAAAGCAAGAAAAGGAAATAAAACATACAGATGGTAAAGGAAGAAAATAAATTGTTTCTCTTTGCAGATGAGATAATTGTGCACATAGAAAATCCCAAGGGATCTACAAAGAAACTCTTAAAACTATCTCTATATACTTGCAATGAATATGCCGACAATTAAAAGTATGATACTGTTAACAGCCACTCTAGAAAAATTTAGCAGTGGGGTGCCTGGGTGCCTCAGTCTGTTAAGCGTCCGACTATGGCTCAAGTCATGATCTCACTGTTTATGAGTTGCAAGCCCTGCAACCAGCTCACTGCTGTCAGTGCAGCACCTGCTTTGGATCCTCTGCTTCCTCTCCATCTGCCCCTCCCCCGCTCATGCTCATGTGCTCTTCTCTCTCTAAAAAAAATAAACAAACATTAAAAAAAAAAAAAAAAAAACCTTAAAAAATTTAGGGGTAAATCTAACAAAGCATGTATAGCACTTGTATGCTGGAAAATATAAAATGCTGATGAAAAAGAATCAAAGACCTAAATAAATGGAGGGACATATTGTATTCATGGATTGGAAGATTCAACATAGTAAGGATGTCCATTTACCCAGAGTTAATATACAGGCTTAATGTAATTCCTATCAGTTCCCAGTGAAATTTCCTGTAAATATAGACAAATTTATTTTAAAATTTATATTACCAAGGGGATTAAAATAGTAAAACAAATTAAAAAAACAAAATGGGAGGAGGTCTACTTGATTCTAAGACTTATTATAGAGTTACAGTAATCAGTATAGTGTGCTATGAGTGGAGAGGTAGACATAGTTCAGTGAAACAGAACAAAGAACCCAGAATTAGGGTTACATAAATATGCCCAACTAATTTTTAGTAAAGGTGCAAAAGCAATTAAGTGAAGGATAGCCTTTTCAACAAATGGTGCTAGAGCAATTATATATCCATAGGAAAAAATTTAGCCTCAAAGTCTCTCACTTATGTGTGAGTTATATAAAAATTAACTCAAGATGGATCAGGAACTTAATAAAACATAAATTATTAAAATTTATAGTGACACCACCAAATACTGGTGAGTACGTGGAAAAACTGGATCACTCACTTAGTGGTAATGTAAAATTGTAATGTCACTGCAGTGAACAGTTTGGCAGTATTTTAGAAAATTAAACATGCAACTCCAAATGACCCAGCAATTATATTCTTTGGCATTTATCACAGAGAAATGAAAACTTACATTCACACAAAAACCTTTACATGAATAGCTATGGAAACTTTATTTGTAACAGTCAAAAACTGGAAACCATCCAGATGTTCTTCAGTAAGTGAACGGTTAAATTGGTACACCAATGCCATGGAATAACTCAGCAATAAAAAGGAATGAGTTTTTTCTTCAGACTTAAATTCTAGTGAATATAGGCTATAATACTGTTTTCAGTAGAATTTAGTGATTCATCACTTACATGTAACACCCTGTGCTCATCACAACAGCTGTACTCCTTAATGCCCAACCCCCACTTGGCCCATCCTCCCACCCAACACCCCTCCAGCAACCTTCAGTTTGTTCTCTATAGTTAGGAGTCTATTAAGATTTCCCTATTTCTTTCCCCCTTCCCCTATGTTCATCTGGTTTCTTAAATTCACATAAGTGAAATCATATGGTATTTGTCTTTCTCTGACTTACTTCAGTTAGCAAAATTCACTCTAGGTCCATCCATGTCGTTCCAATTGGCAAGATTTCAAAAGAATGAGTTATTGATGCACACAAATTGGAGGAATCTCCAAAGAATGATGCTGAGTGAAAAAAGCCAATCCCTGGTCTCTGCATGACTGGTACTGGTAATTGGTAATCTTGTAATTCAAGTGAGGATCAATGTTATATATATATATATAACATTCATGAAATGACAAACTTACAGAAATAGAGAATATATTAGTGGTTGCCAGGGGTTAAGGCGGGGACAGGGGTAGGAGGGAATTAAGTATTGCTATAAAAAGATGAAGTAAGAGACTTCTGTAATGGAAATGTTCTGTATCTTGACTGTATCATCAATATCTGGGGTGTGATATTGTATGTGATATTTTGTAACATGTTACTATTGTGGAAAAGTGGGTAAAGGGCACAAGGGAACTCTGCATTTTCCCCTATAATTGCATGTGAATCTACAATAATCTCAAAATAAAAAGTTTAACATAAAAAAAAAAAAGGTTGCTCAGATGTCTAATCCTTGCCAAAGAGCAAGATGCAGTGTGCAGTGTAGTGTTAGCAAACGTCCAGAACTAAATTTCTTTTGGCTTCTCACTCAGAAAACAGCTTGAAACGATCCAAGAACTGGTAAAATAACTTTTGTGAAAATAGGTGTTAAATGAAACCACTGTTTTACGAGAACTTTAAAAAATACAAGAGCAATAAAATATGCATTATGGAGCTTGGTTTACCAACAGGCCTCTAGCTGAAATGACAAAAGGACATCAATAAGACTGAGCCTTTTGAATTGTTGAATTGTACAGTAAACGCACTGTACAAGACATTGATGTTTCTACACACAGAAAACAAAAACAGATGATTTCCTTACTTATAAAAACCTTAGAAATTTGCATGTTTGCAGATTGTGATGTCAAAATCCAGTTCTTTTTCCTACTCCTATCCTTTTATTTCTTCAGGTTAAAATTCATATATAATCACTTTTTAACTAGAGTTAAGAGTGGCAGGTCTGAAATATTTAAATGTTAAGTTTCAGAGACTGGTAACACTGTGCTGATTCTACCCCACTTGCCCCTTAGTATATATACAACTCATGGTGACAAATGATGGTTGTTATTGGGAAGTCTTTACCAATGCATAGATGAGGAATGCTCCAAATGTTCTTGGTATGAATTTTATTTAAAAATTATTTTCTTGGTATTGTTTTTTAATATACAGTAATTAACAGTATATATTTCCTCTTTAAATAAAGTTTATCATATTATGAGTAATCTATTTCTTGAGAATTTGGAAAAGAAAAATAGTTCCACTACTCAATTCCCAGATCTACAACTGAACTCAAGAGCTAACAGTTGGTTTTCTCAAGTCTGCCTAAATCTCCAAAGCTCTTCTCTGTCTGTCATCACGGATATACTTAATTACAGGCATTTGCTCCTAGAAAATATTGGAAATGACGGAGTGAATGATTTTCACATTTACTTGCTAGTCTGGTGTCTTCTATGTCTTGGAGCATTCTGTTTTCCAGTTATTTAATCCTAAATCATGCTGATTAACAAAGTCCAACAGCCACACACACCACCTGATGATGAAAACAGGTAGAAATAATGGGGTTGCCCTTTGATTTAGTCCTAATTTTCAGCTATTACAGCAAATGTTAGTTATTGTAGAGGCAAATATTCAATCAGAGGTTACCTTATGGTTATATCTCTGAAACCTAGAGAGAGAAGGAAGGGATGAGTTCTAGAATCTCTGGCTTAGGTCTTGGGAATGATCACAATACTGTTATTTTTGTGTCAAAATATATAATAAAACCAGGGAACTTAAGAATAAAGAGATTTTATCAGTCATCAATTCAAACCTTTTCTGATGCATGAGTTTCCTTTTTGTTCTGGAAAATTAGTTGTCCAAACTTTGCTTGAATGTCTCCAATGAAGCCTGATTTCTTACCTGAAAAATGAGGGGATTACAGTATGACTGCTGAGGCCCCTTCAAGCTCTGTTTGATGAATTGTAAGCTTCTGATGGCTAAATTATTTTCAATAAGTGAAATTAGTTTCCTCAATCTATTCTGAGGTTATAATTCCTTGGCAGATGTATTATGAGATGTATTAAAAATACTTAAGATCCTTATCTTCCCAGGTAGTATGTTTAGGTAAACACAAGACAAACAATTCCCAGAAAATTTTGAATATTAAAAAAACAAACAAAAAAGCCCCCCAACTAACCAGGATTTAACAGGGGAGATGCAATTTCTTTTTTGGAACCCTATGCGGATTTGTACCAGTTCTGAAGCCAAATTTCTACTTCTGTTCAAACTTAGTTTGCAGTAAGTTATTCTACTGATGTCCTTGTCCTCGGCCATTGTCACAATACCTGACCCTGGTCTCTGCATGACTGGTACTGGTAATTGGTAAGCTTGTAATTCAAGTGAGGATCAAGAATGGATGATAAAACTACTGGGTGACAGTTGGAGAACAGGATATATCCATGGTCTCAAAGTATCTCCACAAATTACTTTTCATCAAAGAAAAATGGTCCCTTTATATGGCAAAGATCTGGCAGTCACCACCATAACCAGTAAAGACACATATCAACTGTGTGGTATTCTTGCCAAAAATGTTTGATCTGATTCTGATCATGAGGGAGTAATTAGGAAAATCCACAATGTGGGACAATTTGTAAGACACCTAGACTAGTCTTTTCAAAAAGTTAAAGCCATAAAGAAAAGTAATAGAAGGCTGCTGTAGATTAAGTGACTAAAGAGTCATGACAACTAAGCAATGTGTGAACTTCGGACCTTGAATCAAAAAAAATATTTGAGTTAAAAATAAAGACATTTTTGGGATAATTGGAGAAATCTGAATATGTTACCTTATTAGGTGTGATAATCTTATTGTGGCTATGTAACAGATTGTTCTTTTTTTCTTATTTTTGAGACAGAGAGAGACAGACAGACAGACTGTAACTGGGGGAGGGGCAGAGAGAGAGAGGGAGACAGGGGATCCAAAGCCAGCCGGCCGTGTGCTGACAGCAGAGCCCAGAGAGCCCAAGGGGGTACTTGAACCCACAAACTGTGAGATCAGGACGTGAGGGGAAGTTGGAAGTCAGAGGCTTAACCCACTGAGCCACCCAGGCACCCCTGTAATAGACTGTTCTTAAGGAGATATATGGTGAAGAAATTAGGGTTAAAGGTCATCATGTCTGAAACTTACTTACAAACAAACCAGCAAAAAGGTGTATCTACTTACATAGGTATGTATGGAGCTAGGAGAGTGGGAAACCAGAAGCAAGTAAAGATGTTAACAAAACAAAAGAAATGAAAGAAAACAATCTTGTGAGCCATGTTTTTTGTTTCAGGGCTATTGGTGTCTTTGATAGGTCAGATGTCTAAACTGAATTGAACTAACTTGTCTGATGAGTATAAAATAGGACTCTGCCACATATGAGCAGGTTTAGGAAGTTATGTCCGATTAACTGGCAACCCTAACTCAACTTATTATTAAGCAGAGCAAAAATTACTTTTGAAAGATTATTGCTTTTGGGTTTAAAGCATGGCTTCCAGGCCTGAAACATAAGCCCATGAGTTAGAGTAGATGGGGGCAAGACTACTTGGGTTTCAGGTCTGATACAAAAGGGTTTGTAAGATCCAAATCAAATCATTTATCCAAGTCATTTTAATAAGTTTCTATGCCTATGGTCACACCTTGTAGACTGCAGGGGAAAGGTCACTTTTTAATATTTAAGCTTCACCTAGAAAATAAGGGAATTAAGTCATCTTCAAAGTCTCTGACACTGTCAATCTTTTAATTCACCTACATTAAAACAAATTGTGGACAAACAGGTACCTTAGAGCCCATTTATGAAGAGAGAAATGTAACTGATATAAATAATTACAGAAACTTATTAAGAATAATTAAAAGGTTCTCCAAAGCTGAGCCCTTAAGGTCCCCTTTAATCCTAGGGATTTTTCTATGAAAGTAGACAGCGGAGATGTAAAAATAAAGAAACTTTGCTATTTAGCTTTTACAGATTACACTTCTTGCTTTGATTAATCGCTTTAAAAACCTTTAGTAATGCGTAAAAGGAAACGTCTAAATAGTGCGTTCTCAAAAATTAGCAAATCAGATAAGGGGTGTTTGTCCATGGTATTCTGTCTGTAGAGAAGATTTTTCAGTTAAAAAGAGGGTCTCTTGCCTGTCAGCTCAAGGTCACTGCGTGGATGCTTTACAATCTAACTCACTGTTCCAAAACAAGACACTGACTCCCCAAACCCGGGCTGGAGGAGGCTCAGGGCCTCAAATTCCGACCCTCACCCCGGTAGCACGAGAAGGTCCCCGGGAAGGTCCCAAACCTGCTCTGGGGACGCAGTCTCCGCAACCCGCCCCCCTCCTCCCCACAGTCCCAAGTACACGCGGAGGCCTCCTCCAGAGACCCCTTCCACCTTTCCGGAGGGTAGTCTCCCGCCCCCCGCCTGGGAACCCGGGATTCTAAGGGCAGAGAAAAGAGACCATACTTAAGCACAGGCTCTCGCATCCGACACCAGTGCGAGGCTGGGGGGCTGCGTTGCCAGTCCAGTCTAGGGGCGGAGGGTCTGGATCAGGGCGGGCGCCGCAGCCGCTGGATGGAAGAGAACACGTGGGAGAGGCGATGTCAAATAGCTCTTAGACTTTTCGACGCGGATTCGTTATAACGCAGGAACTCTAGAGGGAAAGCCGCTATCCCCAGTGAATTCTAAAATCCTTTGGTGATTAAGTTTTGTAGTTGTATGCTTTGTCAGTGCTCTCTTTTCCTGACTTCCAGGTCAACAATAACCCGAATCAGTCGAAAGTTTTTGTAAAATTTACTTACTTAATCCCGCGTCCCTAACGGTCTCCAGGAGCTACACTGTAAACAGTCCCTAAGCAACAGGAGTGGTATTTCCAACTAGGTCGGGATCTGTGCGGGCCTTCGATGGGAATTTCGAGTTTTAGTCAACGTTTAAATCTCGTGGGGGCAGTGTAGTGTCTTAAAAGAAACAAGAAACAAAACAAAAACGACCAAATTCACACGTTCTTAAGCCTTTTACACTGGGAGTTTGTTTCCACCCGGAGAGGGATGGACGAACACCGGAGAGCTTTCGGCTTTTTCGTTGGTTGTTTTGGATGATTATCTTGGCGCGCATGCGTGTTGAGTCTCAGGGGAGCCGGCTTAAAGGGAAGTGGACGTTGACTCGCGGGCAGCTGAAGCTGTTGTCAGATTATACCTGTGACTGCGCAGTCGCCGAGCATTCGGCTGACTGGGAGGGGTGAATTTAGGTGTCCGATGGTTGCATCTGGAGGAGTGTGTAAAACTCTGGCGGAAGACAGCTATTAAGCTTCTTATATGGGTGATTTTAAAGCATTTCAGTTTTGCTTGAGTCCCACCAACGAATCTTAACACTGTTTGGTTTTGCACTGCCAGTTCTAGGTTTGGGGAGTGTTGTTATGGTTATTGTTGCTCACGCGGCCTTTCTCTTATCATCCGTACTCTCAGATTCCCTGGCGTATGCATTAATGGACTGAGTGGGATTAATGGGTAAATATGGTGTTCTAGTAGTCTCTAATAGCCAAATTGAAATTTCTAGCTTTTTGGATAGTCTACTTAGACATTGATTTATTTACAGGTTGATGACTGCATGTTTTAAAATCACTTGAAATTCATATTTTGTTTATCATACTCCTCCTTCGTTCCTTCTTCCCAAAGTCCCCAAAGCGGTGAAAATTTTGTTTTGAAGTTTTACGGACCTAGAAGAAATTCTATTCAGAACTGTGGGACTAGTTTTGTTGCAAAATATGAAAGGATCTGAGTTTAGCCTGGAAAAGAAAAAAAGGGTTAAAATACCAGCGAGGAGACTTCGTGAGGTAGTTTCTCCAAATCAGGGAGATTATTCGGTTTTGCTCAAAGATGAGTTGCCCTGTGTTCCTCCAGCGTTGTCTGCAAATAAACGTCTTCCTGTTAGAACCGAGGCTAGCTTGAATGGAACGTTATGTGGTATGTGACTCCGAATAGTTCTCACTTTTGTAAATCTTTAGTCTTTATTTTAATTTCGTTTTTTGCCTTTCAGAATTTAGAGGATTTTATATGTTTAAATTCTCAAACATAAGATACATCTAGTTTGTATAGATGTTTGAAAGCTGACCCCTTTCCATGGGGAAATGGCTAGCACAGCCAGTCTAATCTATATAATATCGAATAGGTGGAATGAATGAAACATTTCCCATTGTGTTTTTTCTTTGTGTGGTTTTTGCACATTGTTCTTGTTCACATCTGTGGTGGACACACTGAACTAGTATGATGTGCTTATTGTTCATCAATAGGGGTTTTTACCAAATGCTCTACCTTCTGTTTGGATAGTGTTATTCAATTTGGCATGTAGAAAAGCGTTAACTTCTGCCTCTTGATGGCTTCCGTATTTCAATTCACTTAACCTGTCTGGGGTTCAGTGAAAATGAAGAAGACCTATGCTTTGCCCATTTCACTGGTAATTGTAAAGATCAAATTAATAAATATATGTGCAAAAACAAAAAAAATGCTTATATAATGCTGCTTTTTTGGGAGGGAGGGTATGACATAATAAAGGCTTGCTTTTATATCATGTACATATTTTATTCCTGGCTAATGATTCTACCCATGTTTTGTCCAAATCCAACAGTGTAACGATATATTTTAAAACATATTTATCCCACTTGATTGTCAGTACTGACCCTTATTTTCTTAAATATCAACTGTAAAACTTTCATCAGAATATATGTTAATTACATCTTGTTTTTTTGCATGAAAAGTGCCTTCCAGTATAGATTTTGCATTAATATGGAGTTGACAGTTCTTGAATCATACTTGTACAGTTTTTAAAGGAAAAGGTTCTGATTTTAAAATCACTCAAATTGATTCCTTTGTGTTGTTAGGTTCATCAGACTTGACTTCTGCTAGAAATTATCTGCATCCTCCACTAGAAAATTCTACTGTGTCGGAAAGCGTAAGCAAAAGAATTTGTAATTCCGTTCATGTTAAACTTTTCAGTATTGTTAAGTAATGTATTCTTAAATTATGTTTGATGAGCAACAGGCCTTGTTTTTGCTTAAATTTCACTTACAAAGAAATGTTTTACATACTACAGTTGCAACTTGAATAGCACTGAGACATTAAACAATCTTCCATAGAATAAAAAATACTAGTTATTAAGATGTTGAACACTGAGAGAAATACTGTAACTGAAAAGAAGCTCTGCTCTGAGCTAAGGAAAACATATTCTAGACCAGACTTAACTTACTGTTAGGTAAAGGTAAAGAAACAGTAGGAACATCATTTTTAAAAAGTGAGGTGTGATTATATATCATTCAAGCTATTGTGAGGTTTTCTGTGTGGTTTTTTTGAGGTGTCTTTAAACAATAATAACATGAAATTCTCATCTTTACCTTTATAATCCTGAAAATATTTGATGATAAATATATTTTGTTCATGAAATCTAATTAGATTTTGATCACCAATCATAATGTTGACTATAAATTGTCCATTAAACAAGTCTTTAAAGAAGAGAGTTTCACAATATAATATTTTGAAAATTGAAATTCATTCCTGGTAAGAATGTAATTAAAGCTGTTTACTTATTAACTTTGTAAAACACTCACAATAAAAACGTATAATTATGTGCTGCACCTGGTCCCTGAGTCAATGCCTAGCCTTTGGGTTGGTATTCTTTGGTTCTTTTTTGAGCAGACCTTTTTTAATGATTAATGGTCTTTGAATTCCATCATCTAAATAGTTTCCCAGATGCATGGATATGCTATTATTATATAATTGAAAATAAATCGATGATCTTTGGAAGATGATTAGGATTCCATTAGATTTAATATGGACTCAAAGCTTGTTTTGTGTAGATTGCTTAAGGTAAAATATGCCTGCAAAGTAAATCCAGTTCATTATCATTTTTTCTTGAATACAAACTGTAGTTTGTCTTTGTATCACATTTTTGTTTCATAAATGAGTGCTAAGATTACAGTGTGGATTGACTTGATCGTTCTATTTTAATGAGGAAACTAAAGGAGTTTGTGCCTGATATGCTCATATTTATAAGCTTATTCATTATCTTCTTTTATTCATATGTATTTCTCTATACTACCAGAAAGTGAGATATCCCTATTCCTGTTTGGGCCAGTCCTTGCACATGAGTAGAAAGAAAACAAAAACTTTAAAATTCATTGTAGAAAATACAAAGAGAAAAAGGAAAGAAGAAATTCTGTAGCTGAAGTCAACAACTGTTGCCTTCATGTTTTATGAAATAAGACCATACTGTTTTATTATTAGGTAGTATTAAGGATATTTTTCCATGCCATTGATTTTTTTTTCCCTAGAAGCTTTAACGGGTCCATAGAATTTCAGTGTATGTGTACCATAATTTATTTGTTCATGTTCCTGTCATTTGACATTAAGTTTTTTCCCCCAATTTTTGATAATATAAACAACCATGTGATTTACATTCTGGTGTATATTTCAGGTCATTTCATTAGGATTAATTTCTGGATGTAAAATTATTTAAAAAAAATTTTTTTTTTTTTAACGTTTATTTATTTTTTTGGGACAGAGAGAGACAGAGCATGAACGGGGGAGGGGCAGAGAGAGAGGGAGACACAGAATCGGAAACAGGCTCCAGGCTCTGAGCCATCAGCCCAGAGCCTGACGCGGGGCTCGAACTCACGGACCGCGAGATCGTGACCTGGCTGAAGTCGGACGCTTAACCGACTGCGCCACCCAGGCGCCCCTGGATGTAAAATTATTAAATCAAAGGATATGCACACTTCTTGAAGTGTTTCTAAATTGCCTCTAGAAAGACTGTATCAATATACATTATTCAGCAAGATCATGAGCAGAATTAGTGGTATTATTTTTCCCCAGCTTTACCAATACAGGGCATTAAAAGTAGACAAAAAAAAAGTTGCCATTTTGATAGGTTAAGAAGGCATTCTTTCATTATTACTGAAGGAGAAATTTTTTTCATGTATATTGCCTTCTTCTTTTGTGAATTACATATTTATATGCTATGCTTCTTACTCATTTGTAGGAGGCCTTTATATTAATTCCCCAGATACTGTATTCTATTGTATTGTTAACCTCATTGACTATTTTTTTTAATGTTTTATTTATTTTAGAGAGAGAGAGCATGAACAGGGGAGGGGCAGAGAGAGAGGTGGGGACAGAGGATTCAAAGCGGGCTCTACACTGACAGCAGTGAGCCTGATGTCGGGCTCCAACTCACAAACCATGAGATGTGAGATCATGGTAGTAGCTGAAGTGGAATGCTCAACTGACTGAGCCACCCGGGTGCCCCTCATTAACTATTTTTTAGGAAGTTAATACCTGTTGTCAGGGGATCACTTTCTTTTAATGATTTTCTCTTTACCCTTTTCTGCTTTAGCAGGAAAAAAAAGAGATGTGTCTAAGGAAGGTGAAGAGCAATGTTGAATGAACCTAGTACTCAAAAAGTCATGGTGTCTTAGCACTGAATAGAATCTTAAAGATGAAGACTAGGGTTACACATGTGAACAGAAAGCTAGTTGCCAGTAGAGAAGCCTTCTGAGACCATATTTGAGCTCAGTGATAAAGAATGCTGTGATTAATTTGTGATGTTGTTTTATGTGCTGGCCATCCTTATGTACTCCTTTTGACTCACAGTGAATCAGATTTTCACATTAAACCGTAGCAACTGAATTGTTAAATGACTCTCTCTGCTAGAAGTGGCAAATGGATATTTGAGTATGAATTTCAGGGCCAGAGTTGCTTGCTTGTTCATTTACTTGCTCATTCAACTGATCCTCGAGTACCTTCAAGGTACCTAAGCTTTGCAGTGGTTCTGGGAATTAAGTCTATAAAAGCACACGATCCTGCCCTCCTAGAACATAGTAGTCACATAGCTAGTAAATACTACTTGATGAGTAATAAATCCTAAAGATATCTTAGCTTTTCATTTCTTCCTTTCACATCCCAAAGGATTTTCCTAAAGAC